TGGGTGTGGGGTGGGGACCCGGGTGGGGCCTCGGGTGGGGGTCCCTGCTGTCCCCAGGAGGAACTAGGAGCAGGAAGGCTTTAGGGACCAGTTCAAGGAAATGGGGATGAAACTGAACAGGGCGGGGCTGATACACCCCCGGCCCCACCCCCGGCAGTCAGTGCCCAGGTCTCATTCTCCAGGCGGGTCACGGGTCCCTTCTGTATTTGTTAATTCAGTTGACACTTCCTGGGTGCCCACTGTGTGTCTGGCATGGGCTGAGTGCTGGGAAACATAGCAGACTAGATAGACACGGCCCATGCCCCCTCATCTAAAGTGTTGAGATGACAGGCGTGAGCCACCGCACCTGGCCGCTCTGAGAAAATTTAAGACTCATGTGCCCTCCATTTTCGGCCTGACTGAGGTCAGTAAGTCAGACACAGGTGCAAACAGTGCCCTGTGCTCTCCAGAAAATCAGCACGTGGGCGTTAGGAGGACAAATGGAGAGGGAAGTCTTCCTAGTGGGTGACCTAGGGCCAAAGGCGAGAGCGGAATGTTCCAGAACGTGAGTCCCATGAGGTTGGAGATTCGTTTTCCTGCTTTCTTTCTTTCTTTCAAGTCCATTGCCATATTCCAGTGCCAGGGCAGAGCTTGGCACATCGTGGGTGCTCCTGAAGTTGCTGAAAAAGCAAATAAAAGGAACGGCATGTGCCAAGGCCCCGAGGCAGCAAAGAGAAGCTGATGTTCAGGGGGGAAGGGTTGGACCAAGGGGAGAGCGGTAGGCTGGTCCAGGCCAGGACTGGGGGCAGGGGGGATGTGGGGGAAGGACTGACCCACCCTGCCTGGCAGAGCTGCAGGTCGCCTTCCAGGAGTTTGACCGAGACCGGGATGGCTACATTGGCTACCGGGAGCTGGGTGCCTGCATGCGGACACTGGGCTACATGCCCACCGAGATGGAGCTCATCGAGATCTCGCAGCAAATCAGTACGTGCCTCAGACCCGCCCTCTCCCCTAATCCTCCAGATGCCCCGACCATGGCCAGGGAAGCCGGGCAGCCCAGGCACAGAGGTAACCGCATGGGCGGCCCCCAGAGCCCAGGACCTGGGTCATTCTCAAGGCAAGGTCTCTGCCTCTGGAGTATCTCACCATCTTCTATGAGGTGGGCAGAGCGGGATCCATGATTCCCCTTCTGCGGATGAGAAAACTGAGTCTCTGAAGGGTTCAGTGACTTGTCTGAAGTCACACGGCAAAGTCATCGGAGCCAGGACTTGAACCCAACCGAACTCTACAGGGAAATTAAGAAAAGTTCTAAGAAGTTTTATTTTATTTATTTATTTTTGAGTCGGAGTCTCACTCTGTTGCCCCGGCTGGCGTGCAAGGGCGTGATCACAGCTCCCACAGCCTTGACCTCCTTCTGCCTCGGCCTCCCAAGTAGCTGGACTAAAGGCACACGCCACCGTACCCAGCTAATTTTTTTTTTATGATCTGTAGAGATGAGATCTCACCATGTTGCCCAGGCTGGTCCTGAAGTCCTGGGCTCAAGCGATCCTCCCGCCTTGGCCTCCTAAAGTGCTGAGATGACAGGCGTGAGCCACTGCACCTGGCCGCTCTGAGAAATGTTAAGACTCGTGTGCCTTTCATTTTCGGCCTTGTTTTTTGAAGAGCGATTCCCATCACGAAATACAGATGACCCAGCCTGGAGGGGGGTGGGAAAAGCTCACTTAAAAAGGGTAGCAGGCCGGGCTCGGTGGCTCAGCCTGTAATCCCACGCCTTTGGGAGGCCGAGGTGAGTGG